AAATAACTAATTAAGTCCAGAGCCTGCGAGGAGGACATGTGGCCAGTTTGCCAGTAATGTATAAGTCCTACAAACCAATAATCATATATGTTGTCAGACCAATTCACACTGCAGTTGTTGTGTAAACCAATACTGCATATTTGCCAGATTATTGATACTGCAGTAGATTGAAAGGAAACATGATATGATTTACATTTGATTGCAATATTTTGCTATGTGGTAGTGATAGCGAGCTATCACAAGTTCCTCGATTTCTAGGTGTGAGTCAAGGTTGATAATCTCAGTAACCATGACTCTCACATTCACTTGTATTGACTTATTGTAGCAGCACAGTTAGAATGGTGACAATGATAATTCCCTTCATCTCAGTGTATGCTGGTAATCAAACACGACTGCTTCCAGTGTGCTCCATCATGCACTTCGTCGGCTGAGACGATTCAACTGAAGCTGCTCATTTTGACCCGACAATCAAGTCTAGTGTAGCACTCAGCTGCCTTTTTAAACTACTGAGTTCCAGTTTAGCTGAAACCAGAGAGCCACCCTCCCAGTTTGTCCCCCAGAGAGCACTGACACTTTACTGTTTATTTTTCAACTGTAAAATCCTTCCCTGCTTGACAGCAGTTGTGATTCATTTTGTAAAAAGAACAAAAAAGCACTTCTCCTCACAGTGTCCTACACATTACGGATGTCTGTTGCGCATCCCTGATTAATGATTTAATCAAAATAACACTTGCCCTTTTTATTAGATTAAATTAATTAACACACCCTGGGCAGCCTTCAGTCTTGTCATCACTGTTGCCAGGCAACACTGCAGCACATAACCCCTATAAAATCCTAAGTGCTGGTTGGTGTATTTCATTACCTTTCGACAGAGCCAGGCCAGCTGTTTCCCTCTGTTTCCAGTCTTTATGCTAAGCTAAGCTAACCAGCTGCTTTTACTGTAAAGAGTATTTCCCAAACTTCCCAACCGTTTTCATCCAGAACCCCCTCTGAAAGAAACTGTTGTCTTTCTGTCTTCAGGAGAACCATAAGCTGCGGGATCAGAACGATGACCTGAACGCTCAGATTCTCAGTCTGAGTTTGTACGAGGCTAAGAACCTGTTTGCCTGTCAGACCAAGGCTCAGTGCCTGGCTGCTGAGATTGACAACGCATCCAGGGATGAGGTTAGTCTGCTGCTGGTGGACGGGTGCACCGCTGACATTTGATATGACTGTTTTTTTAATGCATTTCTCACTCTCTGTCTCTCTCAGCTGGTCGACGCTTTGAAGGAGCAGGAGGAGATCAACCTGCGTCTGAGGCAGTACATGGACAAAATCATTCTGGCCATTCTCGACCATAACCCCTCCATCCTGGAGATCAAGAGTTAAACATCACGCACACGCACATCCTTGTAGTACTGTAGTTGTGGGGATATTCCATTACCTGACTATTCGCTTGTATCTTAAAGTTATAATCCTTAATATTTCAGTCCTGGTTGATTTGGTGATGCCTGTGGTTACTGTGGCAACAGCAAGTTCAGCTGTAGGGCACCTACACAACAGGTCCCAGAACTCTGGGGGCAGCAGACACTCTTTGAGCAGCCATTTAGTCAGAAACGCAAGAGAAGAGCGGGCGGTGTATCTGTTTACAGTGCATCCAAACAAACTGAAATGTTCCATCATGCCATGAACTGCCATCTAATTCTTGCTAAATATGGTGCAAGTAGTTACTCCTCCATAATATTTACAACTGACTTGCTGTCAGACAAAGCAAAAGACTACCCCGTGTTGTTCTGGAGACACATTTTTGATGAATGACCAGGGCTAGCGCTACCCTCTGTTTTCTGTCTTCACAGTGAAAGCTGTTCCAAGTTTTGCTTTTAATTTGAACGAGCAACATTAGGAAATGTTGGGTTAGCATTAGCAGTAACTTAATACAGCTGTGATTATGGCATTAGAGTTAACAATAAACAGTGAGCTTAATTTACAAACAGTAACACTGGATTACAGGCCGCATCGTTTTGTGAATTCCTTGTGCATGTGAAGGCAATTTGAATCAAGCACTGGAATGGCGGACTCCGCCACTAACGGCATAGACTACTATATAGAGAATGTAAATACATTTAGCTATCGCTGAAATCCAGACCATAAATACAATCAAAAACTGGGTTTGATTTTATACGAATCTTAAGGATTATAACTTTAAACTGGCGCCTAAATTATGAATGTCCTAAATGTTGTCACTGCTTATGACTTGAAACTGTTGCTCACACATACACAAATGTATATCTACACCACCACAGCAGACGATCTTCATAACCACTAGAACCAAACACTTCTTGATGAGGCAATCTGCCAGTCACTGTACGACTACTGTGCCATGTTTAATCTATCCACCAGTGATTTATAATTGTATATTTGAAACTACTGAAATGTGGGGAGTGAAAAATATTTGGGAATATACAAAAAAGTATTTTGATGTTCACTTTTTTCCTTGTAGACACAGTACTAATTGCTCAATACAGAGCTCTACAATGATTGATTATAACTGGGCTGTTGCTCATTGGAGGTCCAGACTAAAACATGCTACATTTAAGAAGTGTAGGACATAAAACCACTAGTGATTTAAAGGGCCATTCCAGTGTTATGCACGTTCTCTACAAACCATTCTCCAAAGCAGTCATAAATACATGTTTAGAATTTTGAATGTGTTTTTTACCTTAAGGCAACTGTTAGTTTTCTTCATTTCATAGTGGTATGAAAATCTATTTTTAGGGACATCATGTTTTTCTATTGATGTGAGTCAAAATATTGTGTGGCATTCCTGAGTAGATTCATCGAACCAATCTGCCAGTATAAAAGCTGATTTTCATACTGTATGGCAATGAATGGAAACCAGTGGAAGCATCAAAGGAGGAGGAACACTTAAATGAACAGTTCAAAAATGATATTCTGAAACAGAAGATTTGTAAACTGGTCTAAAGTAAAAGTTTTTTTGTAGTACAACATGCATAAACACTGATATGGGCCTTTTAGGTGACAAGTTCTTTTTAGCTTTGAACCCTTTAATTTGGCTGTATCAACACAGCTAAATGTCTACATAATTAGTATGTTAATGTCAGTAACTGTCCTTTTAAGGGACAATTCAGTGGTGTTAAAAACCTTTGGATGGCTTTCTGAAGACAACTCATGATAAAGGTATTTACAGGTGCCAAGAGCCAATATTATGTGCCAAATCTTAACATTTCACTGTTTTCATGCACAAGTAAAGTTGAAGGGCATCAAACTGAGGTGGATGCCACTATGAAATGTCAACAACTAGATCACTGCAAAAGTTAAGCTGTGGCCAGTTTTTCTCCCCTGACAGTTTAGTTTACCGTCTTCATGTCAGCGGAGTTCTCAGCTATATAGGAAATTCCTCTCATGTCATTATGATTTTGTCGTTCACAAATCCTTTTAAAGGTACTTAAATATGATTTTGACCACTAGTAGTGCTATGGAGCAATGTTTTGTTTGTACTCTACATTCACAGAAGCATTTACAGAAGGAGGATGTAAGATTTATATCCCGCTGTTGGTTTCACACTATTACGCCGATCAAGGGAACAATGCCTTTGTGACTGCAAGCTAGCAAACATGGACGTAAACAGTGCAGGACTTAAAACATGACTCATTTAATTAGCTTTACAATGGTTTTATGGGGAAGAAACTGCTCTCAAGGTTTGTGAGACTGGAGGGATCCACACAGTGTTTTGGTGAGTAACACTAAACAGGACTTTGTTTACAAGAAAATATTACAAGTCACCTTAAGTACAGTTGTTCATCCACTGTTGCTTAGCCTATTACAAACAGACATGTTTTTTTGATGTATGAATTATGATTATTTTGAAATAGTTTTTAGAAAAATAGAAATACTGTATTACACTTTGCAGGGTTCTAAAAAAGTACCTGCCTGTATGAGCAACTTTCTGATTTATTCTACCTGTGTTGTAAATTAGTCTCACTTCAAATAAGTGTCACAGTGAGGAGCAGTATTGAGCCGCTATAATGAGCACTACATTAAGTTACAAAGGAAAGTTTTGCTCCATTGCACAAATTGTTCACCTAGTGATTTTTTTCATAGTTCATTTGCTTGTTCTCTCACGGGTTTTGTGCATTTGCATACGAGGTATCAAAAATATTATTCAAGCAGTCCAGCTATGATTTTGTCCATTGTTGCCGTTGTAAGTGAGATTTTTCTTATTGACATTTTTACTTTGTTGCATCATTTGTGATTTCACACATTGTAAATGTTGTACAGAATCAAGTTACTATTTATGTGCAAGTTATTCCACTTATTAAAACAGTCTCTTTGAGAGTTTTGACACAAAATAAAAAAAATCTGTGTTGTAGATTGTAATATGAACTCAATAATGTATAACACACTTTAAAGGTGTCATAGCCAAAGTATTTACCTGGAATAATATTAAACATGATGAGAAAATATAGTTTGTCACAACTCACATATTCAGTTTGAGTTCTTTTACTTGTGTATTGCACATGGAATTATGGGCGACCATGTTATACAAACTAGATGTGTAAATAAAATCCATTTGCTTTGGCATGACAAAGTCGGCCCTGGTTGTTTATTGTCAACAGGATTCAGTGAAAAAAATACCTCCGTAAATTAAACTGTGACGTTCCTGCATTTCTTTACTATTGAACATGACAGCAGATCATGGTTATCTAGTGCTTTCATTTTTCAGTAGTACTGGGTCTAAAATTCATGGCCAGAATAATCTGCAGTATAGACTTTTTTTGAAAGCAGCTATTTTGACATGGAATAGTAGGGTTAATACAAAAAACACCTAAATCTCTATCTATATCTATATCTATATGTAACTCAGGGAACCGGTGCAGTTAATCCCAAGACATTGCATAATAAGCCTCACACGGTATTCATGTGCAAGCGTAACTGATAACCTGTGTTTTTTTACTGAAATTATTAGAGCAGGAAGGGGGACAAAATATGAGTTTGGTGTTTTATTTAAAAAAATTAAATGTGTACATTTATTTACAGTGATTTTAGGAAGTGTTGGAGCCAGGAAGGCAAAATATTTTAAGTACATGAAAAGTGTTGGAGTATCCAAAGCTGTTTGGTGACAGCAGAAGAAGAATAACATGCACTTTATCAGTTCAGTTACAACAATTGAATGTTAGCATTAACAGCTAGCTAGCTAACAACTGGTCATACATTTATACAAATGGATGGATGGATCACATTTATGAGCTATGAATAAGACAAAGACCAATCACTGTGTAAAGAGGGCATGCTTGTTGGATTGTAAGTACCAGAAAGTTACACAACTCCCCCTGTCAGTGTTTTCTTCTACCTCATGCTATATCTGACACAGTGAAACTGATGATTCTGATGACTTTAACTCAATCCCAAATGCAGGATAGAGGGGTTCAGTGAATGTGCAGTGGAAGGTGTGGAGGTGGCTCAGTGTGTCAGAGGAGACCCTGTAGAAGGACAGAATGCCAGCAGGCCAGTCCAGATACACTGCTACTCTACCAGCGTCAAAGGAGGAGTGGATAGGTATGATTACTCTCCTGTTTTTGTGACAAGCAGAGTACTTATTATCACAGCGTAACAGACTCCAGGACTTGTCATTCTGTCCGATCCAGCAGTCGTCATCCTGCCCTTTTCTTCTGATTCCTTTGTATGCCACTCCAATATTAACCCATCCTTTCCACTCCACCTCCCAGTAACAGCGCCCAGTTAAACCTTCGCTACACAGAACCTGCTTCCAGTGGTGAAATCGCTCTGGATGGTCAGGGTACGGCAGCTTTTCCAACACCTCTGTCACCTTTCTGTTGTCCTTGGACAGAAAGAGATTACTGTTTACTGTGTTTGGGTCCAGTGTGAGTTCGCAGGCATCTGATGCGGAGAATAAGACAACAAAACATAATTTTAAACCTACAGTTCTAATACATTTATGTATTAAGTTTGACAAACACATTTACGTTAATTATATCAGCCAGCATCTTTGCAACAAATACTGGAATGGTGCTTTGTCATTATGAATCAAGGTAGGTAAAGACACACTTACACTTCCTCTGACCTGACTTCAACCTCTTCACTCCACCATGTTCCATACTTGGGATGAGAAATACAAGTCAAATAAGTATATTCTCTTTTATAAATATCACATTTGTCATGCATCACATATATTCACAAACATACGTTAAAAACATTGCTTCCTTTAACCACAACTCTATCGCAACTAGGTGAAGGAGCATGTAGTTGTAATGAGCATTGTCCTGTGTATGATTGGTTTGAAAAGATCAGTAAGAAGTAGACTAGGACACATTCCTGGAGCAAAAACTTCCACTTTCACTTTTGCCACACTGCTGTCAGGAAGTATTCAGCTCTCTTTGGGGTAAGTGTGGTGTTAAAGAAGGCTCCAGCTGTGTGGGGCTTCAATGCTACCCTAAGCAACTGGTTAATGTGAAAGCACATGATTGAGTGTAATGACCACCAACAAGTGGAACCAGAGTGGGGAGTGTTGTTGTATGTGTGCTAGATAAGGATTGGTTCTAAGAAAACCAAGTTCAAACAACATCTTGGGACAAAGGTCCATGATCAATTTTCTTTCATCTAACTTAGAAGAAGACATACTGTAGGTTCTGGATGAGCTGCTGACCAATCCCTGTACTACTAGTGAGTTGTATTAGATGCCAGAAAGGCTGTGGGACAGGTCTTGGTGCAGCAAAGGCCTAATCACAACTAAATTAATTTGCATGTCCTTGCAAAAAAAAGTGGTGCTGAAAGATTGGTGACATAGGCCCTATCCACACGAATACGCGGCCTCACCCAATACGGACCCAAAACGCTGTAGTACAGATGCCAAGCCTGTATGTGGCGCTGTGACGCCGCCACACCAATACACTAAAACCGAAAAAGAAGCCATGGAGCATGCGTATAAAGGTCACGCGCTGTGCACAAGCCTGTAGTCCGCCGTTGTTGTTGTTGTTATGACGCGTCTAGCGGCGGCGGCTGAGGTCAAAGGCTAGAGAGGCGGGGCTAATACGTCATCGTTTCTGAAAAAATCCACATTCACCGTCCAGACGACTCTGGCAATCCGGCGTTTTAGGATTTTCCCCCACTCTGGGACCCGTTCTCAAAAAATCCCGTTTTCACACCTCGAAAACGCTGTATCCGTCTGGACGCGAGGCCGATACGATAAAGTATTTATACGGATTCGACAAAAACGTACTCGTGTGGACGGGCCCTTAGTTGCAGCCAGGGTCCAAAATGAACACCCGCCAAGTGCCAAATGTGGGTAAATTTTGGTTTGGCAGAGAGTAAACTCGATATTTGCAACTGAGAAAGTAAGTTTGATTGATACAAGTGGAACTTCACAACAAAAGTTTTAAAAATACAAAGACTCAGTGTTTCCTCTGGTAACTGCACTATATAGTGATGTATCAAGTAGAGAAACTGTTTTTGTGAGCACTAAAACATCTGCGAACACCCAACTAGTATGGAACCTTGTGCACGTCCACTGTCTAACTAGTGATTCCCGTTATTTCAACAAAACTTCTCAGCAAAACTATTACGGTCAGTCAGGCAAGTCACTAATGGCTCTTATCTGACATGACTCGCAAAAACTAGAGACAAGGATTCACCGTTTCTTCCATAATGTCACCAAGTGGGAGTCCCCAGGGCTCCAGTACCAAAAAAAACAGGGTCAGCTGGTAAATATGGTGAAGCTGGTTTTAAAATGTTACCAACACAACTTGGAATTTTGAATTTGAATCTTTTTACATATAATTTTATAGTTGCAAAACTTCATCATGCAATCAGTGAAGCTTTGGTGGCACCAATGGGGGTCAGGACCCCCTGGCTGCCGGCGCTCTAGCTGACATCTCCTTTTGTTCCTCTAAGGGATTGTGTTTGGCCCTGACTTAGTTTCAGCAGGGCTGTATTTGGGTGTGTCAATTGAAATTCAACCTTTAGAAACTAATTAAATTAGGAGCTTTCCCTTATTTGTATAGCTATATTTATAGCTAAATGTATGCTTAGTCACTGTGCAATCTGGACAACTGTATTAGAAGATGGTTCAATTTGACTCTGCCTTCACTGCAGTTAGTGCAAAGACATGATTCAGCAGAGTGATATCTAACTCTGACCTCTCATCGATGACCAGAATTTTTATATTTTCCTCATTTTCTGTCAGATGTATTCAAGAATGTGAAAGGAAGGTGTGGAAGTTGTATTACCATGGCAACAAGCATTGTCATTGGCATTACTCACAACACTGCTGACATTGAAATTTCTGGCCTGCAATATTTTAGTCAGCTGAAAATGTCAACCATATCTCAAGAAACTCTGCAAGAGAAATTTGGATTCAATATATTTTTCATTCCACAGTGGTTACATTGAGTTGCTTCGTCATCTTGGCACTAATTCTGCCACTAAACTATTGCAGTAGGAAAGGGTGCAACAAGATGACATAATAAAATGACTGCCAGTCAAATCTTAGACAGTGTAGAAA